ATGTATGCATGTATGCATGTCTGCATGTATGCATGCATGCACGGATGGTTGTATGTATGTATGTATGTATGTATAGCATATACCACCTCTAAGCATCGTGTTCAACTACTTCAACCTCCATATGATTGTTGAATCTAGCTCCATATGTTTACATACGCTTACATCTATCTTCGTACAAACCTAAAAGAATAATTGACCGGCTCGCACACTCTCGCTCGTTCTCGCTCTCTCTCGCGTCCTCTCGCGCTCTCTCTCTCTCTCTCTCTCTCTCTCTCCCTGCTTCTTTCTTTCTAAGTAGATAGATATGCATGCATATGTATGCACAAATGGGTGCACACCTTTCCGACTGTTTGTACTGTTTGTGCCCTTCGCCCAGGACGGCCTCGGCCATCCTCTTGCTCTTCGGGGGCGTGGCCACCCTGCTCCTCAGCGCGCGCGGGTACGGTTATTATGCATATGTGAATACCTATATGGAGATGTAGCTTTCGATAGCCGCCATGACTTTGGGCGTGGGCGCTGTCATACTTCGTTCCGCAGCAAGCTCTTGAGCCCTCATTCTAAAGCAGCTGAGGTTCTGCTGGGTCGAGTTTCAGCATCTCGGCCGACTAGTGGATGCGAGGATTGCCTTTTGCACTCTCTGATGCAGCAGGTTGCACACTTGCGAAAGAATGTAGATGAGGGTATGGCATGACAAGTTCGGTTCGAGAAGAGCCTCAGTTTGTGATGGTTGGAAGTGCTTCGGAGTACTTCGAGCAAAGCCCTGAGACTTGCGAAAAAAGTTTCGGCCAGCCAGGCCCAGAGGGTATGGTGGCTATGCAGCAAGAATGGAGGGGGGCGGCATCGTCGCTTGGCCTTGGCTAGTTGAACACAAGCCGTTTTGTGAACTGAAAACTTGAGTCTCTTCAGGTCTCGTTTTCCCTTGTCCTGCTGCGACTTCAAACTCTGCTCTAGGTTGTACGGTGACGTCTTTCAAACAAGTGGAGGGTGGCCCGGAGCCACAGAGGTAGGGGGTGGAGGGGAGGCTCCGCTTATTTGAAATGGGCTTGGCGGCCCGGGCCTGAAGCCAACGGAAGTAGTATACAAATTATCTGTATAGGTGTTTGAAAATGCGCAGATTAAGAAATTGTCACCGTAACATGTCCGTCGTGTTGAGACTTCAGGGGCTCGTATGGGAAGCCAGTACGGCGTGTTCTGGAACTTCCGCATCAGTATGCATGGTGCTCTGCAGGCTAAATTTGTACACCAGCTGCAACGAACGGTTATGCTGCCATGGAGCAAGATGTAGAGACTGTCTTGGAAGAGGCAATGCTGCTTTTCCACTACGGTGCTTCATGATATCTGAGGCACTGTAAGCTTTCCTTGGGTTTCATCCAAGGAGACTCCCCCTGGCAGACGCTTGAGTGAGCATCACCACATCATTCATCATGTTGAGCACGTGGTTGGTGGTCAGTCCTCGCTGCCGCCAGAACATCTGTACCATCATGGACACATGCACTCCGGTGCTGGTGGCGGTGATGATTCCGCAGTATACCACCATTATGGACACGTGTACTCTGGTGCTGGTGGTGATGATTCCGCAGGATACCACCATTACGGACACATGTACTCTGGTGCTGGTGGCGGTGATGGTTCTGCCGTTTACCACCATTATGGACACGTGTACTCTGGTGCTGGTGGTGATGATTCCGCAGGATACCACCATTACGGACACATGTACTCTGGTGCTGGTGGTGGTGATGGTTCTGCCGTTTACCACCATTATGGCAACATGTACTCTGGTGCTGGTGATGATGATTCCGCCGGCTACCAACATTACGGACACATGTACTCCGGTGCTGGCGGCGGTGATGGTTCTGCCGGCTACCACCATTATGGACATGTGTACTCCGGCACTGGTGGTGGTGGTTCCGCAGACTACCAAAGCGGTGCTTACGCGGACGGTTCGGCGGAGTATGGCGCTTATGGTGATGGTTCCGCGGGGGGTGCCTATGGTGATGGCTCTGCAGAGTATCACTATGGTGGTGCTTATGGTGATGGATCCGCAAGCAATGGTTCCGATGGTCGATATTCCTACGGCAGCGGGCGCTATGGCGGCAAGTACTACGCGGACAACGGCATTGGCTACGGCAGTGGCGGACACGACTATGTTCATGTTCATGGCAACGGTGTTAACGGCCATGTCCACATTATGGGTCCTGCCAGCAAAGGTCACTACGTCAGTCATTCCCACGGATACGACGGACATGAAGTGAAGCACATCATCGAGAAGAACTACTATGATGTGCAAACCAAGACCCACGTCATTCGGAAGCCCATCCCTGTCTCTGGACCGGTGCACTACCAGTCCGTCGTCATTCCAGCTAAGCCACTTGAAGACTGCTTTCGCGGATACTCGAACTACAAGAAGCTGCTTGCTTGGGTGCCGCTGGGAACCTTTTGTTGTATTTCTATTTGCATCCAATCTAGTAAAGTTTCTATTCCAGACATGCAAGGTTGTGGGACACGCAGAAGCAGCGCTACTGCTGCTACAAGTACAAGCGAGCATGTACGACCCAGTACGTCAAGAAATATCATTACCATACGGTGGTCCACAAAAAAGAGGTTCCTGTCGAGGTTGCCAAGACAGTCGCAGCTTGTCTAAGAGTGGAGGGGAAACAAAGGCAGCTTCTGGACGTGGTTTGGACGGCCTGTTTGGACAGGGTGAAGCTTCAAGCAAGCTGGCTCACGCATGGCCAGCAGCAAGGCAGTGTAGTCGTTAAAATAGAGCATCTCCACTCGGAACTGCGCACGCTGAACATGTCTCGTGTCCAGGTGGAGTCGGGAGCTCCAATCAACTCTGCACGCCACGCCTTAGAAACAGCATGGCCTACAGGCAGTGCCGGTGCCTGCGAAGCGCAGGGTCATCACGATCCACGACCAGGAGGAGCCGAAGCCACGGAAGGTACTCCGGGTTTCTAGGGTCTGAGGGGTCGGAGGGCTGAGAGACTCTGAAACTCCGAAATCAAAACCTGCAGAGACAGTGGACATGATCCATGGACTGCATAGGCGCTGATTGACAAGCACAGCAAATCTAGTTCAGAAAGCTTTGGTGTTTCCAACTTGGTGTTCTCCGAAGAAGCCCCATGCCAGCAGCCTGAGTGGATGTGGGAATCCGTGAAGAAATCTGTGTATCTAAAGCCCGAGATTGATAAGAGACCATTGATCCTTCCTGCAGGTCATCCATGTGAAGGCATCCTGGACTTGCAAGCCGTGGATGCTTTCGTCAGTGCAGAAGGGTCTAGAGACTTCGATCTTGAGCTCTGCAACGTCGGTCTTTCACGTGGCTTGAGCCGCACCTTGACCGCCAAGGTACCCGTGCCCGTGCCTGGCCCACCAGCCCGAACCGTGACCAAGGCCGGATTTACAACTGGGCACAGGAGACCGCAAGGATAATCAGGACAATCATGGGCCAGCAGGATAAGGAGTCGCAGGAACCAGCAGTAGTCATAGTCACAGTTTTCGCCATCATAGACAACGAGAAACTTTGAGCACAAAGGCAGAGGGCATGGACAGTAGAGCCGGCCTGACGGAAGACAACTTGCAAGACAAGCAAGAGCGCAGTCCTGCAGGAAAGAAGAACAGCTTAGGACGATGTGGATCGGCGGAAGGTCATCTTTGGCACAAGACGCGGCACCACCGACAAGCCACAACCACTCACAGAACTCGGGGCAGTCATGGTATCAGCTGAGAGCGAACTGTGTTTCGCAGTTGTTGGTGATCACAGTCAGTGGGTGTTGAACGGACGCTAGTGATCAGGATTTTGACCACGGTCGGACTCGCATCACAGAAGTGCTACAGCCTTTTTGATTACGGTTGCCGCGTGTGTATCTTGCCTGGTCCATCGTTCTGTTGGGTGCTTTAACTTCTCTTACATGAAATGGTTGAGTCTGCGCGGCTCCCGGAGGTGATTCACTATGATGTTCCAAAGCCGGAGACGAAGATCATTCACAAAACGAAGGTTATCAAAAAGCCCGTCCCGGTCGTGCACTACGTCGATTACCCCGTGAAGAAGGAGCCCCCCCGAAATGCCCGAGCATTTGTCAGTGAGTGGCTTCAAACCGGCACCAGGAGAGCAAACCGAAGGTGGTGATCCACACCGAGCACGTGATGTCCGAGGCTTATGACTGCCACGATGGTATGCACCACTGGCAGCTTTGGCCGAATTCTGAGCATCTTCAGGTTTTCGTTTTTTTTGGGGAGTTCCGCTTTTGGGGCATTGGGGGCAATGCGGTTCTGGCGTTGTGGATTCCATGCTCGTCCCGTGCGGGTCAACGAGACATTTTGCAGACATGTCTGCTGGTACGCATACTACAAGCAGAACTCCGCAGAGGAAAACAGTGAATGCTTGACCTCGGATGCCCTCTTTGCCTGCGCAGCGGGGTAGCGAAGATGTCTACTGGGATCCCGTGCCTGCTCGATGTGTGAGTTCTGAGACATCTGAGGAAAGGAATGTGGTCCCACAGCAAGCGGTTGCTGGCCTGATCTGAGTCGTAAACCGCGCAGATCTGTCATATACATGGGCACTATCACAAGGCTATACCATTTTAGTTGAAGCCGATGCTCGTCCTGATGCCAGTCCCAGCGCTAATCTTTGCGACTGCTTGTACGAAGTACTTCAAGCCTGCCAATACCACTGTCCGTGAATAGGATAACGGTCACTGCAATATCCAGTGTTAACAAGGTGCCCGACCTTTGACCTTGCTATAGCCAGCACCCTTCGTTCCAGGCTCTGCAGTCTTTGCTCTAGCCTCTGGACGCTGCACTTCGCAGTCTGCGTTTACTCCAGACAATCCTGCAGACAGCGTCTTCAACATGTCCATATCCCCCAGCTACGAAACTAGATCACAAGCTCGATACCACTCCCATATGGTGGTTTAGACTCATCAGATACGATATGATTCGCTTGGATAAGTCAAGAGCATTTTGGAATTGGAGAGACTAGAGAAGTTCAAGCTAAGGGTTCCTTCCGGTGTAGTTCGGATGACCCGTAAATTGTGGGAACGGTGTAAACTTGTATTGAAGCCCTCAACTTCTTGGGGCCGGGGATGACGCACGGAGGACGAAATTGCTTCAAACGCGGAGATAGTAACGGAGACTCTGCATGCTTAAGCTGAGCCCGCAACTCTGCGACGCAACACATCATAACCCATAGTTGAGACTGAGGTTGTACTGCTGTTGGAGGACCCAGATTGGTTGCCCTCATACTCACATCATTGTGAAGAACAAAACCGTGCCTCGGCGTTGAAATCTGCCCGGGCTTTGTCGGAGATCCACGACGGGCGGACAGATGCCTTCCAAGGGTTCCAAAGGTTCAAGTCCTGGGCGGAGTTTCAAGGCCACAGTAGGGCTACTCTGGACGTGCCTTCTGCCTGGCGTGATGCTACTACAAGCTCAGAAGCCGATGCAGAGTACCAAGGAAGTCCACACCAAGTACGTCAAGCGCAAGGTGCAGATGCCGTGAAGCATTCAAGCCCCTGACGTCTGTATGCAGTGTGCAGAAGAAAAGATTCATTGTTGCTAAACGACCAGGTCAAGATGCCCCCACAGGTTATCTACAAGGATGTCACGGAAGTGGTCCACAAGCACATCCATTCCCTTGATTTTGATTGCAACTCGGGATACTCCAACTGGTACTACGGCTGGTCTCCGAGTCTTGGAGGCAATTTGCTTTACTTATATTATATTAAATTATATTATACTATATTATATTCAAATATATAATACTGTATTATACTATATTATATTATATTATCTTATCTTATCTGATATTGTATAATATAATATAATGAAATATAATATAGTAATATAGTAATACATAATATAATATAATATAATGAAATAAAATAAAATATAATATATAATATAGTTTATAATATAATATATAATATAGTATAATATATAATATAATATAATATATAATATAATATAATATATAATATAATATAATATATAATATAATATAATATAATATATAACAAAATATAATATATAATAT